GATGTACAGTACACCATCAATGTTTTATGTTGATAAATAAATCACTTCATGGGAGGGCAACACATCTGAAGATGCAATTTATTCATATTGGGATATTATCATTAGGGGCAAAGGTAAGTTTGTCCCGTGCTGTTAATGTTCCATTGTGGACTCATGTGCAGCAGGTGTGTGGTCGACTCGCTTCCACTCCTATTGTTACAGAAGCTCCTAAAGCAACTGTGGTTAGTGCACTGATCAATTGTCCTCAGGGTGATCAGGTTTTTCTGAATATCTGATAGGGCTGATTTTCTTTGAAGCCTTCCCAGATAATTTGCCGCTATTGATCTTTCTAAAGGTGATATGCTGCCGCGTATGTCTCTTCAGTAAAAGCTGGCCGGCTGCACGGCCGACGCACTTTTGTGTCCTCTGTGTCAACAAAAGCAGGATAAAATCAACGCAAATACAATGGATTTTAACGTAATTATTTTGACACCTACGCCGAGGCCTGCACTTTGGAGTGAAGGACAATTTATGTTGTAATAAATTGAGGAAGAAACAAAAATTGATTTTTCTTCTTCTAAAGTTGTCCACTGACTTGATTAATAAAAATTTCACAGTGAGAAATGTGTCCCTGTAGGTGTGTATCGGCTTTCTCTCACTCGCTCTTTGTGTGTGTGTAGATATTACAGCTTTCAGCTTCACATGTATATAATATTAGTGGAACACTGGGTGGACAAAATAGAATGAACACCAACACAGACTAATAGTACAACTGGTAATTAAAACAATTGATAGTTGCATCCCTATATATTATACAGTCCAGCACAACAATACAAATGATGTCCTCACAATTACCATTCACTTAAAGCATCATCACTCTGTTTCTGCCTGATAGCTATGGTGAGTTCTGCCATCACTCCTCGCTCCACACACACACATGCACACGAACACTCCTCTTGACAAATTAATCTCATATTTTAAAGAGAAGTGGAGTGGGCTTGACCAGTAAAGCCTCTTGTGGCTCCGCTCCTTCTGTCTTCTGACTACAATGTGAACAATTTGAAAGGGAGGGTGAGTTGGAAGGTGTGGGAGTGTGAAGGGAGGCTGTGATTGCGTTTTCACAATACGAATCTCGCATAACACCCTGCTCCTTATTCAACCGAATGTGGTTCCTGACTCTTACCCATAGGCCAGATGGAAGAAGACGAGAAAGAATAGAAGGCCAGAGAAGGCAGTGGAGACATGGCCAAATACTTGAAAGAAAAGCGCCTCGGGCATTTACTGTACGTATCAGTGTGTGTGTGTGTGTGTGTGTGTGTGCAGCATTGGCGATGTTGGTTTTGATTCTATTTCTGTCTCTCCCTGTCGCTGTTGGTCCCGCTTTTGGTTTCAACACTAAAATAAACAGTATTGTATTTGGATAATTTATCATGAGAAGAAAAGCAGGACTTGTGTGGTTCTCACAAAACAGCTCTCTGAAGAAAAACAATTTCTATACATTAGAGACATGGATAAGAGAAAGCAAAACAGCTTATCAATAAAACTGACAGCATGTTACACAACATGAAAGAAGTTGTATTAAATATTAAAAGTGGGTATATGTGTGTGTACATCAGAGACTACATTCTGTAAATTCAATTCTAAGAATAATATATGTAGGACCAACTCGTCTTTGTCATCTTTAATACTGATTATCATGTTTATTATTATAATCATGTTATAGGCAGGAATTCTTCGCTAAGTGCATTAACTGTAAACACTGGCTCTATGCTATCATATGAGATTCTTTTATGGGGTAATTAATACATTTATTATGTTGCTGTTGTATTTTTTCTTCTTTAATCTCAGCGCTGGCAATTTCCTTGCTGCAGAGGCCGACCACAGCCAAATTAATAGAGGAAACGCTAATTAGCACTGCAGGATTTGTTCAACAATTCCTCTAGAGGACGGAGCAGCATTGCAGCAAGACGGTAAATATTTGAAGTTGTACAATGGTTACATCTCTAAGTGTGAGTGTGTGTGTGTGTGTGTGTGTGTTTGTGTATGGGCAAGTCTAGTGGTCCAACGGTCTCATAACCCGGCTGGCACGGGTTCTTTTACTTTGAAATTATCAGCAGGGAGGCTGACACATTTTATGCTTTCCCAGCAATTACATTCTTACAATATGATGGACATGCAGAGAGAGAGAGAGAGAGAGAGAGAGAAAGAGAGAGAGGGAGTGAGGGAGATAAAAACTCCCACTGGGCATCGTATCGCCTGCGAGCCTAAAGTCTGACTGCAGCACTGAGTGTTGTGCTCAGTATTATAAACAAATTCTGAAGCATCCTCACGCTGTCCTCTTGCTAATTCCTGACTCGGGTTTTATTAAGGGAATTTAGTTCTGTGAAGAACTTGTGGGGCAGAAGGGAAGTGTGCGAGCAATTCCATGGGAGAAAGTAGCATTACAGTGCCAGGGGCTACTGCATTCCTGGAATGAAAATTCATAAATAATGCAGGGCTGGATAACAAAACGAACTCCCCCGCTGTCTCACACAGTACTGTGCAATCCAAAGGCCATGCAATATCACTCAAATCTCAGAAAGACACAACTTATTAGACCCATACAAGGTTTTTTTTGTTAGTGGGTTTTTTGACTCATGGACAATGGGATCCGATGACAGTCGAGGCAAAATGCCAGGATCCTATAACAATTGGCAACTGGGGCCTGAAATTGTCAAGAAGTTGCACTGAAATAATGATGGGACTCCAAGGAGGCCGAGGAGCTGAGCCGCTTCCTTGGATTTCCAAAATGCCATATGCAGCGCTGCACTTAGCAATAACAAGTGTGAAAATTTAAAAGGAAGGTGTGACGGTGTGAGCGGGGCGGAGCATGCTGGCACAAGTCGAAATATCTGACTGATTGATATATCACGTGGTCGGCTGGTTGACTGACAGAAATGCCAATGCCTTGTCAGAGGCATGTGCACAGCATTTAATTGGTGGGGTGACATTTCAATTCAAAAGACCTGTCCTCTAATTGTGAAGGCGGTGCCTTAATGGGTGTGCCATTTGAAATATGCACTTAATCACTGTTCATCACCACCTACAATGCAGCAAAAAACAAAAAACATCCACTGTGACTGTCACCATATGCTTGTGGTTTCTCCTATATATAGTCCAGACGTGCTATATGAAAAATGCCCGGGGATAACTTATGTTGTGATTTGGTGCAATATAAATAAAAGTGACTTGACTTGGCATGTAGACAACAAGCTTACCCCCCACACACACACACACACACACACACACACACCAGGCGATAGCATAAGCAGCCCCCAGCTACAACATCACTAAATACAGTGGGAGATATGAAGGAAGAATTACAGTCATCAACCTCCCCAGGTTCCACACATCTACAACATAATCGCCATCTGTGTACATGTGACTGTGTGTGTGTGTGGAAGAGACGCAGAAGGACTGAGTTTGTGTATTATCTAACCTCCATGCACAGATGCTCTCTATTAATCACAAAGAGCTAAGACAGACTGCCTCATTTTTATCATCTCTATCAATAACGTGCGAGCCGAGGAAGAATTAAGCGTGGTGCCCCCCGTCACTGTGAGCAGCATCAGGAGTGGAGCAGTAACACACACAACACTGCACTGACAGGACGGAAATGCATTCAAGTCCAGGCTTGAAATTAAAGCTTTTCTTCTTCTTCGTCTTTTGGATCTTAAAATATTAGAGCAGAACGCAGGTACGCCTGATTGGTGAAAGAACCCAGACATCAATATATTTCTCTGAGAGATGTGTGCAGTGGCTGGGGGAGTGTAGTGCATTAGATGCATCTGTATTAGACACGCTGACAAATTGCAGTTTCTTATTACGATGCATTTGCATTTTCAAATGAAAGGTATATAGCTGCCCTAGTCAAGTGTGGCAAAAAGTAAGAAACCGTGCAGGAAAAGCTACTGTCACTTTCTCCTTAATGGGACAACATATTTAGACAATTGCTCAGAAACATCAATTATTTATTTCATTTGTTTTGCCTATTTAATAATGTATTTATTGGATATAGTGGTCCACTCAGAGCAATTATTTATAATCTGCTGTGAAGGAGAGAGTTGAGGAGGTCTAATTTAAATCTGGCCGAGCAAATCCATCCTGGTGCAGATTGTGCCGCCTTCACAATAATGGTGATTTATCAAAAATGAAATTGCTGCTGTTAATTAGCAATATACTTGCAGCACCACATATTTTAGACAATGTGTTGTGTGAGGAGAAAAATGCAAATAAATACTCTGCAGTTCAATGATTTAGCTCTGTTAGGACGTGGCTCCAGCAGCTGCAGCATCATCCAGAGGTGCAGAAGTTGGGATGTATATGTGAGAAGCAGAATGCAGTGGGTCAGTGTGTGTGGACATGTGTCCTGACTGTGCCTGTTGGACCTGGAGGTGCATGCATGCAGGCTGGCCCGGTGTAGCCTATGAGCTGATGTTGGATGACAGAGGGCACGCGTCACAGACGTCTATACCCCCTGGATCTCCTGGTGGCCCTGTTGGCATCATTAGGCTGCACCTTAGTGCTGATGGAGATGGAGTGGACGAGCCAGGAGTGGAGCAAAACAACTCAAGGCTGCGAGCGTTGCTGAACCAAGACGAACACGGCACATGCACGCATGAAGCAGTTCAATCTGCTGTTTGTGTACCTGGATCATCATCGTCACACATTGTCAAAGAGGCAGATGGCGTGCACAAAGTCTGCATCCTTCTGACGGAGGCGCACTGATTTTCATAAAACCGCACCACAATCTCTCACACACACACACACTCTCTCTCTCTCTCTAAATCTATCTCACTCTCTCACACACACACACACATGCACACACACATTGGCAGCCGCAACATTGCACGGCACATCTGAACAGCTGATAATAACCATTTCCTGTCTCATCATCCGAGGCTGGTTCTCGTGCAGCCGATCTCCCCCCTGCACACACTAAATGAGCCCAATAACAGGCCGGAACCGAGCGTGGCGCTTACCTTTCCGACGTACAGCCATTCCTTTAGTCCGATCCCCTGCTGTATGCGAGAGAGCAGAGAAGCCCCGCGAATGATGAAGAGCAGTGCAATCCCACCACCACCCTCCTCCTCCTGCCCGCGCCAGAAACGTGACGTGAGAAGCGGTTCTCCCTGCGAAAAATGTGGACGAGACACTTCTCACCCTCTCTATCTGAGTGTGTGTGTGTGTGTGTGTGTGCGTGTGTGTGTGTGGGTCTGGTTTCCGATGCTGATGCTCGTCTGTCAAATGCCGATGGAGGACGACGAAGAGATTTGTGCGCACGCATGCAAGGGGAAGGGATCCCCTCTCCGGGCGCAGTACCAGCTGGAGCCCGGCGCCGGTGCGTTTAGCCGCAGTTGAACCCAAACGGTGGCTGAGCGCGGGGTGATGCTGCTGATGCTGATGCTGCCGAGACTCGGTGCCGCTATAACAGCATCTCCTGGATCGTACCACCGCGCGGCAGGAGAAGGGGGTGTGGCACAGACCGGTCACAGAATTTAAAAAAAAAAAGCTCACAGGCAGGTTCTCTCTCATCAGGAGGTCGTCTGGATCTCTAGTTAGACTCATTCAGGTGACGCCACATGGCTGCACATGGTGCTGTGCTGGAATGCTGACTCACTCAAGTTGCCAAAAAAAAAAAAAAAGAAACCAAAAACGTGAGCAACAGGCCTAAGGTCCTGATTTGCAACCATTTTCCAGATATTGTAAAACCAAATTACAACCAATGACAAAATATGCTGAAAGTTTGTTATTTTCCTCCAGCAGCATATTACACCCTTCACCAAAAATCATTTATTTCTCACGAGCAACAGGCCTAGAAGCTCCTGATTTGTGTGAATTCAACTCATAAATATTGCACACAAAAGCCAAAAAAATCAAAATGTTGCAACATATATTTAACATATTTATTTCAAATGATCAACAAGCTTGGAAGCTCCTGTGCAAATTGGTCTGTGCAAATTGCACACATCAACATACATATATTTTGATGTTGATGTTCTCAGTTACACATGGCATCTATTGCACTTCAGTCCCTCCGAGGAGAGGGATCCCTCACATGCTGCTCTCTCCGAGGTTTTTTTCACCTGTTAAAATGGTTTTTTGTAGTTTTTGTTGGGGGGGTTAGGGGCAGAGGATGTAGCACCTCGTTAAGCCCTATGAGACAACTTGTGATTTGTGAATATGGGCTATACAAATAACATTTTATTGATTGAAAAAAAATGCAAGAGTTTGGTTGTTTATGTCTCACCAGCAAAAGGCCTAGAGGCTCAAACACATTAATCTTCCATCTATAATATATAATGATTAAAAAGCTACAACTAATACCAAAAACATTTTCCAAAAACCAAAAACATTTATACATCAGGGCTGCAAGCTCACGATTTGTTTCAATTTTAACACAAATCATTTTCCATATATTATAAAACCAAGGTTGCGTTTTTCCTGCAGCAGTTTACAAACACCGAAGATCATGTATTTGTTATGAGCAACAGGCTTGTAAGCTTTCACATAATAAAAAACAAGTTATAACCAATGTGGCTCTTGATTATTATCAGTAATGATAATAAAGAAGCAAAGTAAATGTTTACAATGTTGTGCATACAAAGAGAAGATGGAACGTGACAGTAATTTATTGCAGCGGTGGACCTGTTTCATGACAACAGCTGCACATCATCTCACAAGATCTGTTTTTCTTTGCTAAATTGGCCACCTAATGATTCTGACCTGTGCTCGGTGTGTGCGATGAATTGGTGTGGGTATTTACAGCCAGTCAGTTGCTGGTGCAAACAACTTGTGAATGACAGGAGTTCTAATGATGCAGTTTATTATTTCCCCAAAGCTCAGTACACGTGGGGCTACAAACAACCATTTTGACAGCTGCCTCAGTCTATCTGCCTCTCAGCCTCTCTCGCCATATACCCCCAACACAACACGGTGGTCTATGCAGCTTTTTATCAACAATAGTCTTTGGCACTTTCCATCAGTTTCATCACTGGTTCCCTCTAAATGGAGGCTGCATGCCCAGCAGTTCCAGAGAGAGAGAATTAAAGGATCCGAGGGAGAGCAGTGAGGGAGAAAGTCTTTAAGACGCGAGTTTGTTTGATAAAACTGTGCTTCTCTGACATAAAGATTACAACGTGTTTGTCATCCGCATGCAGGTTGTCAATATGCAGCTGCCAGGGTCCTGCAAGAGGCCGCTTCCTCTTAGAACTATGAGTGAGAGCGGACAATAATGGATTTTGATCAGGGGTCCGAAAACCTCCGGTGATTCAGAGCTGGGGGCCCCCGTGCCGCAGAGCCGCTTCTGAGATGCCATGTTTGCCTGCAGAGCCCTAATGGCAGGAGCATTACACCTCCAGCAGCTGGGTAAATGATGTTTTAAAAGAGCGGCTCCCCTTCTGCTCGACACATCTCACTGAGATATCTCCTTGACAACCAGCTCAATGCAGAGATTTGAAATGTCACAGTGTTTTACTGTGATTCTTTTTTATCATTACGGTCTACAGAGGAAAGATAATAGATGTGGAGAGGGGGAGCGCAGCTATAAGAGAGACACAGCCCTCACTTATTATTCCAGAAAACAGGCCAAACAGAAATTGAAAGAAACATTTCATATCTAGCACAAGGGTATGGGGTTTGGAGAGCACTGCTGTGTATCTGTGATGTTCTACTGTGTCATACAGAGCTTTCATGGGGAGGCAAGTTTGTGCAGTCAACATTCTATCTGATAATTAGCATCATCAGAGCCATAAATGCTCCATAGTGCTGGTCAGAGTGCATTTCAGACATAATGTCAGTTGCATTATGTCTGTTGTCATCGGATTATAATGTAAATCACATTAAAAATGATATAACTTAATTAAACAGTATCTCATCTGGCAAAAAAACGAATGTCAGAGGAGACAAATGAAGGAGCCCCATCTCCATAAGACCATGTTTGCTGATCCAATTATCCCTGCCCTATTTGGACCCCATGCAAGCACGACTGAGCGTATAGGGGAGGAAGAGGAGCGCAGAGGTGGATTTAGAGTCAGCGCGCCGTAAGAGCAACTTGAGAGTGAAAGCTACTGTTGCGGTGGTGAATGCTAAAATGGAGTCTAGTGAGGATAACATGGATGGGAAGATGCCCGCGCTTCTCTCATTGATTATAGGCAGCTCACGCTTGCTCCATGTGACACGTCTGTTACGACCTGAAGAGCTGGGGTGTAATACGGCGCTTTACATCGTGTCATGAGACAAGAGATAGATCCATAATGTGTCCATACCCTAAAGCCCCTTCAAGCCTCAGTGATAATATTGGATTTTAAGTATCCCAGAACTACTTCACAACTGAGGGCAGCTTCCAGCAGCATTATTTAGTCTTATACATGCAAACTGCAAAGGCAACACAGATTTTTCTCCTCAGAGCTAGGCCATAATTGATTGGCTGGTGATCAATCCCTCCACTATGGAACATGGCCGTTGCATGCTGTAACTAGAAACTAGTAATTATCCTCTCAGTACTTTAGCTGCACTCCTCTTAGCTGATTTCCTCCTCTCTCTGTCTCCATCCTCCTGACCACGTGTTCTTATAAAAGCCTCCCTCGCTCTTTTTCCACCATTTCCCTTCTTTTTTCTCAACTTTCCTCTTCATTCCCTCCCCCTCTTTAAATCCCCCTACCTAGCTCCATCCCTCTCCAGGGTGACGTTGCTGAAGGGGTTTCTCTCATTCGGTAATGAGGGATCTCGGATCAGTGCTATCAACAATGCTCACCAGCTGCAGCAGCGATACAGTATTATTCTGCCCTTGCGGCAGATCCCTGATCTCCGGGGGTGTTAAGAGTTAACTAGGGTATTCTCTTTTTTCCAGGAGGGTGTTAGGGATGTGCTCCATCACTCTCTCCCTCTGTTCTCCACCAGTGCTCCGGCTCCACCCAGTCAGCCATAAAGCTTGAGTGTCTCACAGGAGACAGAGCCAAGCATTTATTGAAATCTTTTTTTAAATGACAGAGCTATGACCTTTCCGATGCCAGAGCTTGGCAACCATAAATTCTAGCTGATTTCATTTTACATTTCCTCTAAGCATTCACAACCAAATTACACATCCAACTTCAACTGCCTTCCACCTATGGGCAAGGATCCAGTATTTTCATCCTCAATTATTACTTTTTTCTACTCTCAGAAGGTACTTTGGCACTTTCGGAGGCAGCTAAGTGTTTTGGAAGTGCTAAAAAGGATGGTAAAATCTGTCTTCAAAAACAGATACATTCTGACAGCAGTTTCAAAAGCAGTCATTTTCCAAGTCCGTCATCAAGTCCCCATTTGAAAAATGGAAAAGGAACGAAGAGGTATCTATTGATTAATCACCAGTGAGCCCTAATGTACGAGCGACGTGAGCCAGTTTCAAAGTGTTGACAGATGAAACAGCTACAGTGTATAACCTCACCTCTGTCACACAGTCTCCTTCAAGCCTTTCTCTCATAATTAGTCACATCCCTGAAAGGGCATGACATTAATAAATTCTACATTAAATCCACATGTCTAAACTGAGTGGGATTTGAAAGAAAGCAATATTTTTAACCAGCGGTGCTTTGACATTCAATAGCTGGTGAAAAGCAGGAGGAGATGATTGCAGACAGAGGACACAGAATGACAGCGGCGAGGACGTCACTGCACCAAAGACAAGCAGCGGGCACATGATACAGGAAATATTGATTTATAAGATATATCTTTATCCTTACAGTATGCAGGAGAGTGAAGAGAACATCAAGAGCATCTCTCAATCACCTTGAACAATGGAATCAAGTCTTTGTTCTGAGCTTAAACAAAGCGCCAACACACACTCGTGCACACACTCTTTGGTCACCAAAACCAGGGCAAAAAAAAGTCTTTTTTAGATTGGTCCCCTAAAATCTAAGGATTGGTCCCATGAGGATCAAAGTGTATGTTTCATGGGCTTTTGTATTAAAGTGTGTGTGGTGTTGAGTGCTTTCCTCAGTCTGAGCAAAAAGCCCTCAGATACCGAATGCCACCTTAAAGCATGGGCACTTCTCTTCTCCTCCTTTTATCAGCGTCGCTGCTTGCTCTCACTACCCAGCTTACCTGTGATAGGAGCGCCTTTCAAACGTACCTCATTGCATTTCAAACGCCCGTGACTCCCACTCCCGTTTC